CCTCTTGTGGAATATTCTCGTATTCATGACTTACCGAGCCGTGTACATTACACAAACGGGCTACTATGAAATACCTGCAGTTATTATTCATTTTTTACCGAATTCACAAAAAGTTACCAAGCCGCTGAAAAACTTTCTCCTTCTGCTACTGAGCAGAAGAAATGCGCAGTCAGATGATGCATGTAATGAAATCAGAATTAGACTGAACTCAGTTTTCTATTTCTCTGGAAAATATAGGCTTCAGCCATTCTGAATAAAGGAAAAATCAGCAGAAAGAATCCAGTAATACTAACCCATACCTTTGGCTCCTAATAGCTTGAGTAATATACGTTCATACTGCCGTTGTGCAAGTGATACTGGGAGATTTCCGACGAACACAGCATGATCATGCGGGTCTTCTTTTTCTTGCACATAAAATCGTACGACGTGGTAGCGACGTAACGAATCCTGGAAAACGGAGGGTCAACGGTTACCAGATAGAGAAGGATCAATTTATTGGGACCATCAATTATACTAGTACACCGTCTTTAAAGGCAAACTGTCTCCTCATCCACAGCATCACTAGTCGGAGATTTCGGTCGAGTCCGAACGAACGACCCCGCCCCTCCCGTGGCTTGGACGACCTTCTCCCGCTCCACCCCCTCCCCCGTACCTGTCCTTTGAACGAATCGACCCCCCTGTCGAGCTGATTCGAGCGAAAGGGGGGGGGATACACTACAAGCACATGGAAAACCCGCGGAAATACATAACAACTTTCCTTCCACAAAGCGCCCTACTGAATCAAGAAAACAGTCAACCGTCCAACAAATAATTTTTCAGACAAATACGGCCCCCCCCCCTCGCCTGCCCATCTCGACCCCAAGTACGGGAACCCCTCCTGTTTGGGAGAATCACCCCCAACGATGTTCACTGCCCTCACCTCCGAGGCGGTCCTGGATATACACGAGGCTAATAAATCTGCAGCGCCGCAGCCCACCCTGTCCGACCGAGTGTCCGGAGGCGGGGTTGGAGGGCAGAGACACCCGACTACCGTCTTCATACTCCACCCGCGCTGTCCTCTATCTGCAACTAGCATCGCGACAAAAATTCCGCAGCGAAACACGCACTCAGTGGTAGAGAAAGCCAGAAGTGAGAGGGCGCAGTCAAGTAGAGCGTTCAGCCATGGTTAAGCGTGTGGCTGGCCGTGCAGCAGCGTGAGCGGACTATGGAGACAGCACCCGAGTATCACTACCCTTCAGCTACCCCTGCAGTTTTGAGCGGAGAAAGTGGCACTCACTGCGGCTGCGGTCCCTTCTACCTTACAAACGACAAGAACCGGGGTCCACGGAGGTGAGTATTCAGTTTGTCTTCAAAAGAATAAAGTCGTCATCCGGGCAGTTGATTATCCGGCCCAAGTGACGCGACGCGGCTGCAGCGCGTCACGATCGCTGCGATCAGCTGTTTCCACCCTAATTTAGCAATTTTCTCCCTAGTTTTCACTGTTTTTGGCTGTTTTTTCAAGGTCATTTGCTTTATTGCCTATATGAAGTATATCGAGACGTGAATTCTTTTTTTGTTCTTGTAATGGGGTGTTTTATGCGATTTTCTTAGGTGTTTGTTTAACTGTTTGTTTAATCATCTAACTGTTCGCAAAAGTTGGAC